TTCTAATTTTACATGATGCACTTCCATGTATAATCGATTTGCACTGCTCAATTGATTTTTACTGGATTGATAAATTCTGTTCATTTGTCCCTGTTGTCATAAGTGCAACAATCGTTCTTGTTTAAATTCATTGCTTTTATTTTATTTTTCCAATCCTTTCTGTCTGTTTCATCACTTCCTGGCTGTATCAGACTAAATCAGGAGACAGCTAAACGACTGTCGATCAATAACAAATTACAGATTAGTTATATAAGTGGCCTTTCATGCAGCATGCCTAAATAATGCCCAGAGAACAGATAAACTTCCTTGAGACTTTATCTACAGATATCATTTCCATTACTGTACTGCTAACTACCGACAAAACCAACACGGGAGAAATTGATGAGAAGTCGCCTGTTTCACCTCCAGAGGCAATCGCGTTCCACGTATAGGCGGCATGGATGAAAATGTTGAAGTCAGTCAGGACAAGATCAGGAAAGTATGACAGGTGTCCGTTACTTTCTAAATCGGTTTGGAGATCTACACCACTCTCACTCATTACATGGAACAAGGCAGTGAGATAACTAAGAATTTATCACTGAACATATATGCTGCATGAAATACTGATGGATTGGAAATACACTGAAGAGATGTTCCAGTAAAATCACACTCCCCAATGACCCTAGAGTGGAACCCGGATGGGAAGTGACAGTTAGGACATGGTTCGGACAGTGACATAGAGGAGATGATGTGAAGGGGAGATAAAAGTTTGTAGGTAATCGGGAAAGCTGTTATAAAAGACTACAGGAAACAGAAAACAATTAAGGTTTGCTGGCTAGGCCCAATCTCCCACTTACTACTCAACAGACAAATAATATTGTTAATAGTATTTTTGAAGCACGAATATGCCCCAGATTCTTCTTTTTGTTATCATCATTATTCCCTTTGTTTCCAAGTGGAACATAAGAATTCAACAGAACTTCTCTATTTTGTAGTGTTCTATGCAGCCCTATTCACCTGGTCCCATGATTTCGCATAAGGTTTCACCTCTTTACAGAATCCGTCCATGTCACTCTCAGGCACACGCCCATTTCGTCCTCTCCAATTCGGGTTCCATTCAATCAATGATCCAGGTAGTGCAATGTCACTCAACAATCTCTTCACTGAGTGTCCAACATATCCATCTCCACTTCCTTCAACATATTTGCTGAGCACTCGCTTCTTGATTGCCTGGTTCCCAGAGTTCCCTGTTTCTAATTCTTTCCAACGACAATCTGATCTTCACAATGGAATCAGTGAAGACAAGCTTTGACCGAAGTCTGCACTGGCCTGTTCAAAATGCTTTTCGTCAAGTTTGTGACCCATACAGGAGCAGTGATTGACTGAGTTAACACTGGAGTTGAAAATACGAATTTTGTTCTTTATTCTGATGTGGAGTGTAGAAGATTTCCAAACTGGTTTCAGGTTGATGAAGGTGTATCTTGCGTTTCCGACTCTGACTTTGACATCGTCATCCATTCCGAATTCCTGTGACTGAAACGATGCTTGTTGTATGAGTGAAGGCGGGAAGTGACCTCTTCCAAATTTCTCACGTTGGTGGTGTTAGTTGGTTGGTTAACTTCATCACCTCCGTCTTCTATATGTCTACGTGGAGTCCCGTCTTTGCTTCTTGTCTCTTCTGACAACTTGTTGGTCTTCGTCTGTGAGTCTTCGAGTTTGTGTGACATTAGCTATAAATGACCCGTGAAGTCCAGATCTTCTAGAGTCTTCACATCGGTCCAATGTACTCCTGTCTTCTGCCTCTCCATGGATCACGTGATTCGTAATCGAGTCCACCACAATGAAGAATATCATTGGTGATAATAGGTGTCCTTGTCTTACTCTTTTATTCACTTGAAAGCCTACGCTGAGTTTTCCGTTTTGGATCACTTGACATGGGACAATGACACTGTACTCCACAGTGCTGAGATAGTTTTCAAATTTTTTCACAGTCAACCCTGTCGAAGGCTTTTACAAATTTGATGAAGCTGATTTTCGAAATTCGACTGCCTTTCTATGCTCTGTTCAATGATGATGCCTTGAGTGGCAATTGGATTTTTACATGATTTGCCTTTCTCGAATCCAGCTTGTTTCAGGCGGGGTTCTGCATCCATTACATATGTTATTCTCTCCAGAATTATACGACTCAATATCTTACTTGGTATAGACATGAGCATGATTCTGCGATAGTTCTTGCAGAGTTCTTAGTCGTCCTTCCTTGGTACCTTTTTTTATTCCAGACTTTTGCAATATTGGTGTCAGCATATCCGCTGCAGTTTCCTGATCCATTTTCAATACACATTCAGTTTACAGCAGGCATTTAGTCTCAAACCTTATCTCTTCACTTGAAGAATAATTCATGAAATTGAACTTTTACTCAAAACAATTTATTTATTTTGAAAGCGGATGTTGTAATACTATCTTTGTTATACAGCCACACAGATATTTACTAAAAATCAGAAATCAAGCTGCGCATTATTCAGTAAATTAGTATTGAAACGTTTTCAGCTAACTTTTTACAGGTAGGTATGCTTAATTTTCGTCATGAACTAACATCAGAGAATACTGGATGCTTGTTTCACCCTAGTATGGAATTCCTCAACAGCGCGCACGTATCACAGCAGCAGAAATCTAACCTGGAAAACTTCGGGTTACAGACCGGGTCAGTTGTAAATTCAACCACAATGTATTGGAGTCCAATTACTCGTGATTGCTAACTTGTGTTTGCCACTTTCTTGAAAAGTCCTCTCGGTACAATGAAAACTGTGCGTCAGTGGCACAGTGGTTAGGACGCTCGCCGACCATGCACATGGTCCGGAGTTCAATCCTCTGCCGACGCACACCTGATATCTACGGTCGGCCTGCAAAATTTGGGCTACCAATATCACATGCTGAAAATTTCATACCTGTACCAAAAAAAAACACGGTGTGGAATCAAGGTGTAATCAAAAAAAAAGAAAGACAACTGTTAGAGACAGAGTACTTACCTCCACTTGGACATTTTATTTTATCTGGTATCAGTCAAATCACTTTTGATTGCAGTCATTCAGAGGAATAATTGCTTTTTGTCTGACTTATTTGTGATGCTGATATTTTGGTGTTGTTTGACACATGTTCAGTTGAGAGACGAGTGAATAAATATACCTTAGGTTGTGAAACAACTACGTCTATGGCCTGGGTTCGATTCCCGATTCTCGTTTACCAGTCGATATATATATATATATATATATATATATATTAGATAGTTGGAGGCAACCAGCAGGAAACCTTGGACCTAAGTTGCGTGCTAGTTAGCACTCACCAGTTAGAAAGGCGTATCTGCAACCTTGAAGGAACTCATATCCCTTCTGAGATTCAAACCCGCGTCACCCAATAAGTGCTGCAATCAGAGACATTACCACTGAGCTATTCGGGCTCGCGATTGACCTCGTGTAGGACCAGTGAGCCCAAATAGCACTGGGTGACGCGGGTTGGATTCTCAGAAGGGACATGAGCTGTTCCTTCAAGGTTGCAGATACGCCTTGCTAACTGGTGAGTGCCAACTAGCACGAAACCTAGGTCAAGCGGGGCTTCCTGCCAATTGCCTCCAACCATCTAATATCATCAAATCAATGTGCACCGTGATGGCGAGCTACCTAGAATGGTGGTCACATTGCAAACCTGACTGACTGATAGAATTCAGTCTGCACCAAAGAAGGGACTAGACATGTCACACTAGTTACTAGTGTCCTATATATATATATATAGCCACTCTATTCCAAACAATAATAATTTTACAGCATGAAATTTTCAGCCTTTGTACATACTGCGACAATTTGGCTCCTTTTATAAATATACAAATACGTAAAATAATGAGAATAATATGACCACGAAAACTGCAAGTTAGTGGGATAAAATGAATCATAAATAAATAATATACGAAATAATAATAATTATTATCCTGGTTATTGATTGCTGTTCATTCACTGATTTAAAAATGTTTATAAGCTCCTTTCTGACGTTTGTCTCCTCTTTCACACAAAACCCGTGCTAAATATGGTATGCTTGGATTTTTATATTTTTTATTTTGTACGAGTATAAATTCATATGAAATTCCCTCTGGTCTCACTGTCGGAAAGATACAAGGGAAGAGTTGTGAATAAGCGAAGAGGATGTTCGGTATCAGACAAGATAACTATAAGCCAACTGCTTACAAAATTTAAATTGCCTGTCAACAACAGTATCAGTTAGTTAGTTGAGTCAAAGGCATACCCCAAACCCTACTTACAGCCTTCCATGTTCCACGTAATATGTATGACACAGTCTTTCTTGAGAAGCCAAGGGAAGAATAAGTGAGGCGAACAATAAAGAAGGCAAAAATAGGCAGAAGACATTGGATTAATAAATTGTAAGAAGAGAAGAGATTGATTGATGTCAGCAGGAAGTGTCAACTTCTTTTATGTAATAAGTCAGACGAAAGATTTCCTTAGAAATCAGCAGGATATGAGACGAGCAACGGGGAGATATTCAATTCACTCTGTATAACAGTGATGTCGATATTGTAAACATGGGAGTGAATCACTCCACGCAAGTCTTGTCTGTGTCTGGAACTAAAATCAATAGTATGACATTTAGAAGGGTTTAGTTTAATAGGACTACTGCTTAACCTCAGATAAGAAAGTATTCAACATATCATGACAAAGCAATGCAGAAACGACTGGGACAGAAATGGTCAGACCATCAACATATTCAATGAAATTATCTGTAGTCCCCTGAAAATCGATTCATTTTTAGACGAAGATGTAAGGAGAAAATTCTTCCTGAAATGTTTACCAACAGACTCTTATCATTCACTATACATAATGCTGTCGAAGTTGATAAGTTTATTTGCCAACATTCTTCATCCAATATGTGTCGCTATACTTTCGAATGACGCATAACTATATACGCCTGATTATCACCCTCTACCCATTGAAAATATATCTACTATTTGATAATTTCAGGTACATTTGCCGTTGTCAGCCTGCTAATTTCTGGACCTATTGAACAATACAGTGGAAAAGTTGAACGGCACTATCGTAATTCATTGATCAGTGTGAATTTGACGAATATTGAAGACGAAATGGTAGACGGTATACCACCATTAGAAATAGAGCCGAGAGTGCTAGTCGCTATAACGCTCACCTTCCTTGTTGGAATTGTACAAGTAGGTTTTTGCTATTAATTCGCTTATTTATTTATTTAATTAATAGATTAATTTCATTTATTTTGACCTTTACTTAAACAAAAACAACAATCACTTTTGTTTTTCAAGTACTGGTTTTGTAGGGAACTGATTGATTGTTTACTCGATTTCATCATGAGCTGACACCACTTAGAGAACCATTGGAAAATCTGAGAGTACTGGATGGCTGTTTCGTCCTTGTTCGAGACCTTTCATCAGCACGAAGGGCCAATCACTAGTGAACATCTCATTGATTTTCAAGTATCGGTTTTGTAGGGAAGGTTGTGGGTTTCAACCCTAGTGGCTGCGTACTGTTGAAGAGTCCTAAACTGGGACAAAACAGATGTTCAGTACTCCTAGATTTTCCAATGGTTCTCTAACCGACGTCAGCTCATGATGAAATGTGCTACAGAGTTTTCAATTTCTGACTTTTAAAACCTTCTTCTGCCATGATGATAACTCTACATTTTCTGCTTAGTGCCTCCAAGACAAAGATAATGAAGCCTAAACTATATCACAGGCCTGTAGAACCATTAGAAACATACAAAAATATAACACTAAGTTACATAAGCATTCCTAATTTCTTCTGCAATCTGAACAGCCATTCGAACACTCCATGTCCCCCATGCTTGAATTTGTTTATATGCAAAGAAGACCCATCGGCTCACTGGCTTCCCGAAGACTTTCACCAACTCACGTCATTTCTTCTGTCAGATTCCAGCGAAGTTTCTGTAGAGATTCAGTTGATTTTCTGCAGTTGAGCCATAAATGTAGCCATAAATGTTCTTGTCATACTTCCATGTATTTAGATGCACAAAATGTAGGAAACTAATGAGTGTTCGCACTGGTAAGTTATAAATTCAGTTCACTGTTTTCCAGGAACTAGCTTTTCTAAAACGAAACTACAACTGGTGAATATACTGCATATGTGCGTTTTTCTTCCTTTAGGTTCTTAATGAAACATAAGGGCTTCAGGCTAGAGCTTTGAAGTTTCTGTAGCAGTGGTTTTCTTTTTACAGGGTGGAGTTGCTAGCCTAAGGCCTAACCGCTCCTCTTTATAGAACTTACTACGGGCTCAGCGAGGCTTAGAAGTACGTCATCCGTGGATCGAACCCCTGACCATGTAAGGCGTGGTTGAAGAGCATTCTACCGCTGTGCCGCTGACTCATTTATGTCCCATCACTGGATATTAAAGGCGGGAGTGAGATCAACTTCTGTGGAGACAGAAAATTCGTTGGTATCTACTGTGTAATGGTACCAGCATTTCAGAGAGATAGTGTCTTGGAAGTTGAATACTGTTACGCAGCTGTTAGGAGAAGTTGGTGTGACTGTTCATGTCGATGAAACAGTTCCTATGAAGAAGAAAACAACCGCGGTCGCCGTAGGACAAACAACGTTTGTGTATTGTGTATTTACAACACTGAACTCCAGAAGAGGATTATGGAGGCTATTCCAGATCCTAGTGCCGACACAAAGTCAATCAAGGGCTTCTAGGGTAGACTGAAAGCAATAAACGGCTCAAAAAATGAACTCATTTTCAGTTATCTTGATGAGTTCATGTATAGAAATTGGTTCGACGACAAAACTGACACTCCTCATTATAATTGGGATGTATTTTTAAGTCATGTCAGAGAAAAATACCCTGTTTAATGTGTCTTCATGCACTCCTCTTGTAAATAAACGTCAGTTTTTGTGTAAAAATCATTCATTTTTCTGATTAGTTGGCTCAGGGTCACTCGTGCGTTCGCATCCCATCGGTTGCGATACGTCAACTTTGGTGGCAATTGTTTTTTCACTCACTTACTGGGGAAGATCATTTCAACTACAGACAGAAGTCATAAGTAAGGATGTCGAAGTTAGGATCAGAGAAGCAAAACATATCTTCATTAGTTGGAGGATTTCATCATGAGCTGACATCAGTTACAGAGCCGTTGGAAAACCAGGTGGGAGTACTGGACAGCTGTCGCTGTTGTCCTAATTTGGGACTCTTCATCAGTTCGCAACCACGGGGGGTCGAACCCAGGACCTCCTGTTACAAGGCGAACTCGTAGACCACAAAGCCACTGGGGCGCGACCCAACGGCTCATAATTCTAACTTCTGCCAATTCATGACATGGTGCGACCACTTCGCAATGGCTTCTTCATCTCCTCTCAGTCCTTCCTAAGTGCTTGCTGTCACAAATGCAGGTGAACTGGTAAATACAGTTGAAGTTGACATGGTAGAGCAGGATACTTATCTACTTTTGACTAAGTAAACGAGCATACGGTATTGATTGAGTGGAATGAGTGTTTCAGAGGCGGAAGGTGTTCTTTTCAATGCATCCTTGGGATGTTGACAGTTGAAGAGAATCGGTGAAATAAGACCAGTTCTTTCTTTCTTTATTTAAACTATTAGTGGGAAACAGCTGTATGGAATAATTTTCTTGACTAGTACACGGAAACATACACACACATACACGCATATCTGATGTTATCAGTGTCACAACTCACAAGAAATACACCTGTTGCAGTATAAGTGTGCTAAGAGCGTATTTTTACCTTATAACGCGATCATCTTGACAAAGGCTGAAAAATCGATTTATAAAATTTTAACTTGACCAGTTTACCTACTGATATTAGTCGACAGTATGGCCTACGTATGAGATATATAAACAAAATATTTTAAAGTTTGTATGCCTTGGTAGACAGGTTAGTGGATATATATATATATATATATATATATATATATGCATAGAAGACTGGTCCTAAAAACATCAAATATAAAGCGAAGAATTTACGTGTTTGCAGTCACCAGCTTTTTATTTGTTGTAGACACCTTTGAAAATAAGGTTAAAAGTGTACCATACCTAGTCATTCTTTGTGCTAAATGAGGGAAGAAAGTAGTAAACTGTTGTCTACAAATATGCATAATTATTATTATTGTGTATAATCCGTCTACCTTAAACTCGAAACCGGATATGCTAGTATATTTTGTTGGAACATTGAACTTCCTTGTGATGAAATCACTGGCTGACTAAGTTTCGTATATGTGGTTTTATATTCACTCACTAATTCATTCATTCATACGTTATTCTGTTATTGTTATTATTATTATTACTTTATTTAACGCGAAATATTCGAATACATAGGTGAAAAATGATATTTATACGAAAAATTTATCGTCTAAAAGTGATTTATGTTGAAACAGCTTGTCTTATAAATTGTCAGAATTTTGAAAACACGCGGCAGCAGATTTCGATCCGGTTAATGAATCATAGTGTGGTGGTAAAGCATAAAATATGATTGTCTCCTATCGGAGTATTCATCACTGATAAGAAATCTAAAGTAGAAAGAAGAAGAAGAGGCAACTGTTGAATCCACTCCTTAGCCTTTCCATTCCTTCTCTATTATTATTTTATTCCCAGAGACCCAGAGACGACAGCAGATATGCTGACTCAATTATTGCAAAAGGTCTGGAAGGAGGGAAGGGTGCCTACTGATTGGAGGAAAAGTTACCTTGTGAAACTACCAAAGAAGGGCTACTTAGGACTCTGCAAGAACTGGTGAGGAATCATGCTCCTGTCGACGCCAAGTAAAATCCTGAGTCGCATCATCCTGGGGAGAATAAAGGACGCACTGGATATAGAACTCCGACCAGAACAAGCTGGATTCAGGAAAGGCAAATCATGTTCTGACCAAATTGCAACTCTACGCATCATCATCACAGAACAAAGCATGGAATGGCAATCAAATCTCTACCTCAACTTTATAGACTTTGAGAAGGCCTTCGACAGACAGCGTTGACCACGAAGTAATTTGGAAACTACTCGAGTACTAAGGCATGCTCTGAATATTCATCAACCTTATTCAACAGCTGTGCGACAATGGCACATGTCGAGTGATCCACAACGGAAAACTCAGCGAGGCGTTTGGAGTAAACGCAGGAGTCATACAAGGGTGCCAATGATAGTCCTAATTGTGGTGAACTGGATTATACGTCAGACAGTGGGAAACGAGAAGACAGGGATATCCTGGACCGACGTGAAGAACCTAGGAGACCTAGATTTCGCGGATGATTTATGTTTGATGTCACACAAAATCGAAGACTTACAAGCGAAAACCGACAAAATGGTCGAAGAAGCAGCCAGAGTAGACAGGACTCCAGGTGAAGATAGACAAGACGGAGGTTATGAAAAAAAACAACCAACAACAACAACAGCAGCAACATCCAGTGCCAATCACCATCAACGGGAGGGATTTGAAAGAGGTTACTTCATTCACTTATCCAGATAGGGAGCATTGTCTCAACTACACGAAGAATGGACGAAGATGTCAAATCGAGAATCGGGAAGGGCAAGAAACACATTCACCAACCTGAAACCAATCTGGAAATCTTCGTCACTCAGCAACACTCAACAACAAAATTCGGATTTTCAATACAAACGTCAAGTCATTGAGTTCTTCTATACGGATCAGGAACTTGACGGGTCACAAAGAATATTTCCAACAGGTTGCAGACATTTATCAACAACCGTCTTCGTTCTATACTCAACATCAGATGGCCGGAAAGAATCACCAACAAGAAACTATGAGAACAAACAAAACAAGAACCAATCGCCCAACCAATATGCAGGAGAAAGTGGAGATGGATTGGACACTCGCTGATGAGGCCACTGGGTGACATCGCGCGTCATGCCAATGCTCGAGTGGAACCCGAAGGGGAAGCGGCGAGTGGGACGTCCAAGGGTGACATGGAGAAGGTCGTATGAAGAGGAGTTGAAACAGTATGGACTAAGATGGATGCAGGTGAAAAGTACATCAGAAGACAGAATCAAGTGGAGACGTGCAGTTGAAGCCGTATGTTCCACTAGGAATTCAAGGGAACAGTAAATAAATAATAATTCCCTTGGGTTCCGAGTGGAAAATAGGGCTTCAACAGAACATGTCCATTTAATCCGGTTCTGTACAGTCCTCTTTAGCTGACCCCGTGATTATCCGTAGACTCTTATCTCCTCCTCACACAACCTCCTCCATATCACTCTCGGGTCGACTACTCCCAACTAGTCGTTTCTCATCCAGGTTCCACCGGATATCATTCCGCGGTCTGGTTAGCGTGTGTCGGGTCCATCTGCATTTTCTTCTACATATTTTTGTTGAGCAATAGGTTCTTGGTTAGTTTTTTTCCCAGGGTTTCTTGTTGTTAATTCTTTCCACCGGCCATTCGACCTTCAATGTGGAGCCATAAAGGTTTGCAGTTGGATGGTGGAGATTCTCTTCATGACGCGCATGCTAAGTTTCTGACCTATACAGAACAACTGACTGACTTGAAAATTCGAATCTTCCTCTTTATGCTGAGTGAAGAAGATTCCCATACTGACTGACTGACTGACTGGCTTTTACATCCTCATCAGTTGTGATTGCCTGTAGTTAAGACGATACTGCCTTCATAAGTTGTTCTCTAGCCTATTTCAATTTTTGATAAGTTTATCTTATAAGTTATACATACTGACGAGTTTATATTCCTGTTTTTATCTTAGTTATATACTGATTGATTCACATGGTTATCAAAGAAGTGCATTATTGAAACACATGGTCATTTCACTTTCACGTCGAGTTCACAGGTGATATTGCTGTTTAAAATCATTGCCTGCCTAGTCACAGAATGCGGTTTAATGATCCTAGTCTTACCTATTTATACACACACACACACGCACTTCAACGATCAAAAACATCCAACGTCTAACTTCCTCCTTCTTTTTCCTTCCTGCCTTAATTCAAAGCTGGTGATTGGACTCTGTCAACTTGGTAAACTCACATCATATCTAGCACCATCCATGGTGTCTGGTTACACATCTGGTTCATCCTATCATGTATTAAGCAGTCAAATTAGTTCAATATTCGGTGTGAGAGCTGCTAAAAAACACCATGGACCTGGATCACTTTTTCTGGTCAGTTTATTATTATTATTGTTATTATTATTATTATTGTTATGTATATTATCAGTGTTAGTCCTGATTGGAAGTATTGCACTAACCGCTTAATTTCGAAAACTGCAACAACAGTAGCGGTGGAATTACAACTAGATAGTCACTGAAATGTGTGTATAACTTAAAAATATTCGCCATACTATAGAAACTGACAAAAACTTAATTTCAACTCATCTCAGAACTGGAATTTTAAACCTATGGTGTTTTTCTTTTACAGTGTTTGTCATAAAGTGGTCACTGATGGGCTAGGTCACTTAAAAAATCAATAATGAGTCTGGAATTATTGCGACTAACTAACACACCGGTTACAAGATTTTTTTTATTCAGAAGTTTTTGTCTGCGCTGGAAAGTTGTTTCGTCCCAGTCCGAGACTCTTCAGAGTCGTATGTGTAGTACTGGCTCGCCTCGGTATGGGTCCCGTCCCCCGGGGGGGTGGGGCGTGAGTACATACCACTGAAAAGTTTAGGAGCGGGAGGGACTAGTTGTCCAGTGCTTTCAGGACAGTCTGTAATCTAGGTTTTGTTCCCGTGTTAAACTGTTTACAAGCACAAAAGAATAGTCACTTTGGAGACTGAATTTATTGCATGCGTGTAGCTCAATACCTAAAATCCATTGTCCCTGTGATCAGTAGGTCAGATTTCCAACGGGTTTGATTTGTTCAGTTCTGATGATGAGCTGAAATCAGTTACAGAAGCATTAGGAAACCAGGTAGTACTGTACAACAGTTACGTCCTTCTAGTTTGGGACTCTTCAGTAACAAGAACCCGGGGATCTTCCAGTTACAAGGCGAGCTGGAAAACCATGTAGCCACTGGGACCCGACTCAATGGCCAGGCCATGAATTCTAACTTCTATCAATTCCTGATTTTAGCACGACCAGTAGCTAATGTCATCGGTGAGTATTTGTCTTCACTTCTCACAGTGGTGGGCCCTGCTGGTCACGACTTTTACAGGGATCCAAAGTAACTCTTGAAAATTAATCTGATGCTCACTAGTGACTGGCAACAGGGTGAAGTTGCCTGGAGGGAGTTCCAGTGAGAAATCGTGGCCAGGGTGGCCTACCACCAGGTCAAGAGTGAAGAAAAATACTCGCCGGTGACACTGGCCGGCGGTTGCGCTTTATATATATATATATATATCCAACTAGCAGGAGTTGGAATTCATGGCTCATTAAATCAGGTCCTAGTGACTGATTGGTCCATGAGCTCACCTTATAACCACAGGGCCCAGGTTTCGAATCCCAATGGTTGAGTCTTGCTGAGGAGTCTCAAAATAGGTGGACGAAGCAGCCGTTGAGTACTCCCTGGTTCCCCAATGGTTCTCCAACTAATGTTAGTTGGCTCGTTACCAAACTTGAAACAAGACAGATTTTGACTAGTTCTGTTTTACATTCTTACATAGGAGTATATATTACTAGACTTTTAAGGCACGCATAATTTCGAAAATAGCTCACTGCATTTTATCATGGCAGCATTGATCTCGGATAAGTGTAGCAGCAAGCAGTAAAACACCTGCAAACAATAAAATTTATCGAAACTGTGATATTACTGATTTAATTTATCAGGAATACATTGCGCTAAGTCAAGAAACAGGTGATGATAGACAGTTTAATGGACACATTCATTTATTTATTTGTGAAGGAAGTGGGTATGTAGTTCATTGACTTAAGCATTCATCTTTCAACCAATGCGTCGAGAGTTCACCTAATTCAGCCTGGACAACTACTGGATGGTTTCATCAGCCGTAACGTGGTAATTGCAGTTCTTAGACTGGCGCATGAACAGTTTAGTTATTAAACTCTATTTTGATGTGGCAGCTAGGTTATTTAATTGCAGTCTTCATTGACCTTCTAGACAACACCTTCACTGCGAGCTTTCATGTTAGGTCCTATTATTAGTATTATTATTCGTCCCTTGGGTTCCTAGTGGATCATGGAGCTTCAACAGCGCATCTTCATTTCGCTTTTTTGGCTGACTCTACAATTGCGCATAGGCTTTCATTTACTCCTCACACGATATCCTCTACGTCACACCCGGACTGATGTCCAACTCGCCGTTTCCTATTCTGGTTCCACTCTTGATATCCCTCAACAGTTCAATGTATCTCTATCTCCTTCTGCATATTTCTTGGATGGTAGATTCTTGCTTATCCTTCCTGTCTGGCCATCTGATATTCAGCGTGGAGCCAGTGAAGGCAGTTAATGATGAATGTCTAAAACAGCCTATTGGAAATGCTTTTGGTGACGCGAAAAGTCCATGTTTCATGTATAAGCACCAACTGACTTCACATTAGTGTTGAAAACCTGGCACTTATTCTTCATACTAAGTGCAGCAGATTTTCAAACTGATTTCAGAGTAATGAAGGTGTTTGTCTTGTCTTTCCAATCCCCTGCCTTTGACATCTATGCCTATAGTTGAAACGCTAAATCAATCCATTTACAAAGATTGATCACGTTTGCCGGTCTAGTGGTGAGGTTGTTTAAAATTGCGCAAGCTGATGAATACAAGCTGCTGGGTCATAGAAGTTATTCATGCAACTGTATTTTTTCGCAGTCAGTTTTCACTGACTAGATATTTTTTGTGAATAAACAAAAAGTATGCATAAATTATCTAAGTTTTAATCTGTTTGTTTTATATTTGTGACTCATTCGAAACTTCAAAAACATACGGAAAAGGAGATGTCTTGTCCAGTTTTGGTGAATTCAGATTGTATAAAATTATCTACATATATTTTTGGTATTTCGTTTTATTCCAAAGAATAATTTTTTTTCTATAAAGTGTATTGATGAAATATTCGGTAGTACAGTGTTATAGTGTACGTCGGTGGCACAGCGGTTACGATGCTCATCAACCATGCACATGGTCCGGGGTTCGATCCCCTGCCACCGACGCACTCCTTTACCTTGCTAAGCCAGTAACAGAACTAGCAAAGATGGAAGGTTAGGCATAAGGCTAGCAGCCCCACCCTGTAAAAATAAACACTGTTACAGAAACTTCAAGCCTGTAGCTTGAAGCCCTATGTTCCACTGGGAACGTGAAGGAATAAAAAAATCTGTTATAGTAGTCATCAACCACGCATGCGGTCCATGGTTTCACCCAAGGCCGATGCATTCCTAAACATCCCCCAGCTGACAGCCATACATTTTAATGGATACAACATGGTGGCTATTATAATAAATACGGTGCTATTCATTTACATAGATCCACCCTACCCTACTCCTTCTCTCATATATGGTCATCGAAAGTAGAATATATTGGATAGGTTGTGAGTTTTCTTTGTTTTATTTTATGGAGTATGTGAATCGGAAACACATGGTTGGCAGTCTTCAGATTAGATGTATAGTGTTAAGTGAGAAATACAGATTAGGGTAGAGACTCTTGAGTGGATAAGATACTTGGGAGATAGATAATATTTCAGGAACCAGAGCCTCCCTCCAATTAGTAAGTAATATCAACTGAAGCAGGTTAAAATTAATAAAAAAAAATGATGTTATGGCTAGTAGGACAAAAGCATGACACTAATCCATCAATTCTCCAACAGTTCTCATATTTGCTCTGCGCACATCTGGCAAATGTGCCAATCTGAACTGATAAACTTCTATGCGAGGTTCTACGTTGATCTGTTTGCCTTTCTGTCCTGATATAGACAGCCTTAGTTTCTTTTCTGCCCACTTCCATTTGAGCTAATAATGTTAATCAAGTGAGTTCGGAAGTTAGATAATGTACGTGATGAACCAGTCACCTCAGTCGATGAAGACTGACACGGATTTGAATCTGACAAAGAACATGAGTTTCTTCAGTATTTCAGATACGCCTTGCTGGCTGATGAGTGCTAAGAAGCACGAAATTGAGGTCAAGCGGGGCTTCCTGCCGATTGCCTCAAACAATGTAATAACAAAAATTCACAGTGGACCGTGATGCCCAGCCACCAAATAGCATGGCGGTCACACTGCCAACTTCACTGATAGAATACAGTCTGCAGTAAACAAATGACTGGACACATGTCACTAGTTAGTATCCAGTCAGACTGACTTACCATTGCTGTCTAATACAGTTAAGTTTCACGCTAGATTTAATCCGCTTACAGTACCATGGCAGACTGGCAATTGCACAAACATATTTATGTCCCTAATATGCTTAGGTCATCATGGCTTATTTCCCCTACGGTAGGTAATAGATGACTGCTGAATACAAAAATGAACATGTAACAGATAGCTAGGTGTTTCACTGCACATGACACGAGTTTCCGAATTTTGAAAGGGTCTTTCCCGTCATAAATAACTAACTATGTCTCACTCCAAATTTCTAAACCAGTAGTTGATTCCAGTAAATAGATGAGCACTGAGTCGGTGACTCAGTAGTAGAATGCTCACCATCCACTACCATGGCCACAGTTTGCTACTCGACTGACGAACTCATAAATCTCACGTAACCGGTAGTAGGCCCGGTAAAGAGGGAAAGTTGGGCTTGAGAGTAACAGTTCAACCCCATAATAAAGAATAACGCCACTGCTACTAGAACTTCAAAGGTGAAGCTTGAAGCCCCACGTTCCACGCGGAACGCAAAGGATTAGACTAATAATACATTATAGTCTTATATCTGACAAATCTGAAGTGAGAGCCAAACATCTCAGGGATTTTTATGAATGTGTATGGAAAACCTTTTATTGTCAGTGTGATCACATAGAACGACTTTGATTACTGTGTCAACCAGATAACACGTCAGTGTTTGATAAGAAACAGATAAGAAGAGTTGCCTTTATCAGTTCATATATATATATACGTAATATTAAACACTATTCCGAACAATAATAATCACACACAATGGAAACTTTTCAGCATCTCGCATTCAGATACCAGGGAAAAGAAAGACTGATAACCGCTTCTTTCTGGACGCATAACTCAGGTTTCAGGCGCTTGATGGAAATGGCTTCAGCTCTTTTGCCTATTGATAATTTTGAACG